GAGACAATGAGGACGAGCAGAGTGCAGGGGCGGACGCGCTCACCTCTCTCCGCCCCCGCACCACCCGACCGGCTTAACCCCTTCGCGGCCCCTGCGGCGCCGGCCGCGGACGCACCGGAGGCCCCCGCCCGGTCACCCCGCCGCCGCGGGCCTGGGGCCTGGGGGGCGTCAGGAACGGGAGCGGGTCGTCTTTTCGAGGAAAGCACTTTCCTGCAGTCCCGGAAAGCGGCTCCTTATCCGGAAACCACCTGTGGGGGAGGGGCGGCGATGCGTCCCGGGTGGGAAGGCGGCACGAGGAGGACTCCAGACCAAAGGACTCCCGACGCCTACCTGGCTCTCGGGGTCACTGGTCAAGCTCCCCTCCCGCCTCAACTTTGCCCCCACAGCACCCTCTGGCGGGCGCTCTGTCCGTTCTTTTAAGGTTCTGCATCCGAGGACCCCTAAGATCAGGAAGCTTAACATTTGGGGGGTGGGGGGTGGGGGGGGCGGGTAGCTGTTTGGAGACAGACAGCGCACTGGGGCACTGTCCGTATTTTGCTGACAGTAGATCAGAACTTACTTTGGGCTTAAGCAAAGGAGGAGATACCTTAGCTAAAATGTGATCCTGAAAGTCCTGAATTGTGTGATAAAAGGTGAAAAGCCCTAGCCAGTTCAGCTCAGTGGATAGAGCGCCGGCCTGCGGACTGAAAGGTCCCAGGTTCCATTCCGGTCAGGGGCACATGCCTGGGTTGCGGGCTCGATCCTTAGTAGGGGGCGTGCAGGAGGCAGCCGATCAATGACTCTCTCTCATCATTGATGTTTCTATCTCTCTCTCTCTCTCCCTTCCTCCCTAAGATCAATAAAAATATATTAGGTGAAAAGATATTAGACGTAGAAACGGAATAATGCAGCTAGAACTAGTGATTTTAGGAACTCCCTCGTCCAAGGAGTCTCTTGTTTTGTGTACCTGTTATCTTGGCACGCACCACAGGGCCTGGGACACACTGGGTATTTAAACGATATTTATTGACCAAGTCTGTATTGACCAGGTCTGCATTTCGCAATATGTCCCTGTCACATTTTCTCATTCATTCATTCACTCACTATTTTTCAAGTACCCAGTGCTTTCAATTAACACCACCTGGTCTAACTGACTTCCAAATCAAGGAGCCAAAACAGTGTGGACAACAAAGGGACGCTGTGATAAATTTAACCAGAGTTGCCTCACAGGGTGACCTGACCATAAATTAGTATGGTCAGATCATGATGGGTAGTCACGTCCCAGGTATATAACTTCTTTCCCTTAAGCAAGTCCTGTCCATCGTTTCTGTGCGTTAGGTTAACATGCCTTTGAAATGCCTCTTTTTCAAACCCCTTGAAGGAAGGTATAACCACCCTCGAGGGAGCACGTAATCTTAACTATTCTGTACATTGCTTTCTCCCACCTTCATGTAATCTTCCTTATGTTTCCCCCTTAATCCCAAATGTGTAAAAGAAACTGCAAAACTTTCACTCTTCGGCGCCTTTGAGATCTTGCTTCCCGGGAATTGTCATCAGTCTGGTTAAAATAACCTCTTATACAAATTCTCTACAGGTTTGGATGTTTATTGGGTGTAGAGAAATATTAAAAGAAAACAAACAAAAAAGAAGAAGCACTGGTCTGTCATAGGTATTGATTGTCCCGGTGTGACCAGCTTGAAAAGAAACGAGGGAGACTGTTTTCAAGCATGGAGTGCTGGGGAGTGAGCAAAAAGCCCTGCAGAAGGAGGTCAACAGTTCTGTAGGAGAGCCCTGGCTGGTGTTGCTCAGTTGGTTGGAGCTTCATCCAGTGCACCGAAGGGTCTCGGGTTCAATTCCCAGTCAAGGCACATACCCAGGTTTTGCGTTCTTTGATTCCCCGGCCTGGATGCATACCAGAGGCAACCAATCCCTCTCTCTCTCTCTCTCTCTCTCTCTCTCCCTCTCTCTCTCTCTTTCTTTAAAAAAACAACAACATACCCTCAGATGAGGATTTAAAAAACACAACAGAATTCTGTAGGAGAAATGAACGTAAAAAAACCCAAACAAACAAAAAAAACCCACACAAAATGTTCCAATACCTAAGAAATTATCTTTAAGTGCCTAAATGATATATTTGTGCATACCTAAGATCCTAATGAGTGATCTGAAGAAAAATGAAAAAGCTTAGATTTAACCCAATTTCCTCCCTGAAGAAAGATTATGGTAGCAGAAAAGGGGTGGTTCAGTACTATGCAGAAAAAAGAATACCAGATCCCCTGATAGCTCTCTACTGGGGAGATAAAAGCTTCCTTGTTTTTCTTCAAATCGTTCATTAGGATCTTAGGTGTGCACAAATTTCTCATTTAAGCACTTAAAGATAATTTCTTGGGTATTGCAACATGTTGTTTTTCCTACATTCCTACAATCAATAAGGGTTATAGGTTCAATTCCCTGCCAAGGCAAGGGCACTTACCTGGTTTGTAGGTTCAATCCTGGCCCGGTTGGGGTGCTTGTGGGAGGCAACCAATCAATGTGTCTCTCTCACCTCTCTCCCTCTCCCCCCACCTCTCCTCTCTCCCCTTCCCTCCCTCCCTCCCACTCTCTAAAAAATCAATGGGAGCCCTAGCCGGTTTGTCTCAGTGGACAGAGCATCGGCCTACAGACTGAAGGGTCCCTGGTTCGATTCTGGTCAAGGGCAGCCAAACGATGGTTCTCTCATCATTGATGTTTCTATCTCTCTCTCTCTTCCTCTCTGAAATATATAAAAAATATATATATATTTAAAAATCAGCCCTACTGCCAAAACCGGTTTGGCTCAGTGGATAGAGCGTCGGCCTGTGGACTGAAAGGTCCCAGGTTCGATTCCGGTCAAGGGCATGTACCTGGGTTGTAGGCACATCCCCAGTAGATGTGCAGGAGGCAGCTGATCGATGTTTCTCTCTCATCGATGTTTCAAACTCTCTATCTCTCTCCCTTCCCTCTCTGTGGAAAATCAATAAAATATATTTTAAAAAATAAAAAAATAAAAAATAAATAAAAATCAGCCCTAGCTGGTTTGGCTCAGTGGATAGAGCATCAGCCTGTGGACTGAAGG